ATATATATCTCCAAGTACTTTTGTAATGAGATCTTCCCTGGATACAAAACTGTTGTGAGAATTAGGAAAAACAGATGCCTATTTATTAAAATTGCTTCCCCAGAAGTGCCACTAATGCCCTTGGAGTGTAGAAGGTGATGAAGACAAAAAACCAGCAGGTGCTCCATTATGGCTGCCGATCTTTTTTTTTTATTTCTTTTTTTTCGTGCTAATGAGGGACTAAAAAGATGCCTGCAGAGATAAATTACTTCAAATTTTCAAAATGGGAATATAAACTCCCAAAACCAAGTGTTAAAAAAAATGACTTCTTTTCTTCTAATAGTGGCAAAATCGGAGGACATGTCATTATTCTTTCTCTGTGTCTCTCTGAAGTGTGATCAGCTTTTCTGCAGATAACATAAAACTTACATTTGGTCCTTTGTCTCCTTTCTCAAACACTGTGGAGCCATGTATTTCTGCTTTTCTTTGTTTTTGAATGCATTAAAAATGCCTAATGGAACTGGAGTTGTTTCTCCTTAAAACAGCTCTTTATGGAAGATGCCACTAATGGACTCAGGTGTTCACCAATTTTTCTCTTTCAAATTTTTTTTTTCTTTCTTGTTATTAGTATATCATTTTAACAGCAGCCTTTCTCTAATGCATTAAGGTAAATTTCCACAAAAATACTTTTTGTCCAATGTATTAGCTCGCTCTCCTTTCATTATGTTCCTCATTTTGTGTGACAGAAGGTTGGACCAAAGGGAATTACAAACACAGGACATCACAAAAAAAATAAAGTAAAAAAAAAATACATTACAGAGATTTACCTTTAATATAGCTGACCTATCAACAGAAATTAAGTATAATAAAAGAAGCCATGTCTCCAGCTAATCCAGTATTCTTCAAAAAGGATAAATTACATGTTCCCATTGTCATTTTCCTCAAAACATCACTGGGCATATATGTATATAAATCTCACAGAATTATGATACTAACACAACAGTTTTCAGCAAAAACATGCAGTCAGTCAGAATACTGGGTCCAACGAGGCTAGTTTGAAAATGCTTTCCAATGAGCACATATTTCTGTTTTAGAAATGTTATTGATATGATGTAGTAATCTAATCTTAAACTACATAATGTGTTTCATTCAGTAAATTGAGTTGCTGAAATAAATAAACATCAACATTCAAATGTATTAATTGTGATTATATAACATGACCTTATTGTTTGTATTTATTATCAAAAAGCATCAATTGTGGCAGAAATCAACAATGATTATCAGTTCTGAAATCTATTAGCTGTATTTTGATCGACCTGACCAGTTTTTAAAGAGGCGGTAAGAACCATGTATTTTCCAGGCATTTATAGTAGCACAATAAAGTATCATCTTGATTTGTGAGTCGCCAGATTATGTGATATTTTTGTAACATCTGTCAAACAGACCTAAACGTTTAACTGAGAGCCATAGAAAATCAACTACATTGTAGCTGTTGATAATTTTTTTCCCCCAATTTTAAAGTAAATTTTAGTTGAAAACATTATAATAATGTGTAAAGCCATGTTCCCATTAAAAATCCAAGAGTCCTGTTTTTGTTGTGCTTAGATTTCTATACAGTTAGAACACTGTAACCACAAAATGAAAAAAGTACGCTCAAAGAAAAAGCTGACCATTGTAGGTATGCTAGCAACAGGAACAAGCTGTTTGCTTTTGCACCTTAAGCTAGTCACTCACTAGCTTTTACACATTATCGGTGTTGAGCAGTTTTACAGCACCATGTTTTGTTTTCATTCTCTTGCCAAAGGAACGAAAGGGATCACATCGGTTTGAGTTACTTGCCTCAAACTGCTGAGGGCTTTCCGCGTTTACCTCTCCCAGTAGCTTAGTGCTACTTTCATCTTCTCTTCCTGCCACGGTTCTCTTTCATACTTTCCTTGAGTGACGACTGTACATGTTATTGTTTCCTCATCGACAATCACTTTATTTTCCTGCCTCAAAGATTAGCACATATTATTCAGAAGCACCCCACTGGCTTCTCTGTGAAGCGACTTAGCTAATGGTGTGCTGCTAGCGCCCGCTATCACACCCCAGGGGGGGTTCTTTATCCTTTTGCTTTGCATATCTCCCCTTGGAAATGCTAAGTAACCTTACAAGGATGAATTTCCAGGCAATTTATTTCTCTGTGAAGTAAAGTGATTTGCCTTGACACACCAGGGTGTGACTGCCTACATATTAAGCCTGTGCTTAGATTGTTAGCATTTACTTTGGGTCTTATGAAACATGCTTCTTTCTTTTTTTTTAAATTCAGGAGTATGATAATAAGCTTAATAGTGAATAAATTGAAGCAAATAAAGTTTAGTTTGTCTATATATCCAGTGCCGGTTCTTTACCCACGAGGATAAAAACTAATTATGATCATAGTAATCATAATAAAGATTTAGAAACGTGTAAAGAGTGTTAAAGTGACAGTATTATATAAAAATGACTTTTTTAACTTTAGCATGTGACTGGAAAACGCAGCCCTTTTAGCATAATTATTTCAGTAAATTCTGAAATGAAGTAAGATGTTTCTGTATGTGTTTCTGTATGACTGGTAAGAAAATACATATTTCTAGATATAAGGATCAGGCATATCAAACTTTGGCATTCGCAGTCTATTATTTAAAGTTCAGCCTGGTTTAGCTGAGATGACAATATGATTTGTGATACGTTTTGTGCTTCAGGTGGGAAACCTAGGCTTGCTCTTCATGTTGCTGTTTTTCATCTATGCTGCTCTTGGAGTGGAGCTTTTTGGCGAGCTCGGTATGTGCTTGAGTTAATATTTCTGCACAAAATGGAAAAAAAGTATTTTTTATGTTGAAGTTCTCTGTGATATTACTCCAGATGATCTTATGAGAGCCCCGACGTGGTGTCTGATCTTTCCTCTTTTTTTTCTTCTCATCACATCTCTCTTCTAGTGTGTAACGCTGACTACCCTTGCGAGGGAATGAGCCGCCACGCCACATTTGAAAACTTTGGAATGGCTTTTCTTACACTCTTCCAAGTATCAACAGGTGACAACTGGAATGGCATCATGAAGGTATGAGTTTAGTTAAAAGCTTAAAACCTCAAAATTTTAACGAAAAGATGAGTGAAATTCTGAATATTTTCTTAAAGGGGCAGTTTTATGTAAAATCAACTTTTTTGAGCTTTACATCATGTTGTAATATTATTCCCTCAACAAAAACATACCTGGTGTGTTGCTTTGATTGTTACATGCATTTATGGGGAATCCCTTAATCTCCTCCTTTCAGCTCCTTCAGACTAGTCAGCAGCAATTAGCAAACACCTGGTGAAACTGAGCTGTTATGTGAGCTACTTTTCAGTGAAAAGTATATGGCATTTTTATTATAAGTGAAGGTAACCAATTAAGTGGTTACTTAATTGTGATGAAAATGACTCTTGTTCTTGGAATGTATATAATACTGTTCCTTTAAAATTCCCAATCCACACCACTACTTAAAATTTACGTAAAATCATAAATTTTTTCCTAAGTGTTAAGTATTTCCAGTTCTGCAGTCATTCTTTGTAAATGATTAAGTGTCTAAACCAACTTGTCACTTGGTTTCTTGGTTGGTTTCTTCATGTCCCTCTCGTTTTTAGGACACTCTGAGGGAGTGCCCACAGCATCTCCCGGGCAACGACTACGGCTGCCACGCCGGGCTGCAGTTCATCTCCCCGCTGTACTTCGTGTCGTTCGTGCTCACGGCTCAGTTTGTCCTGATCAACGTGGTCGTCGCCGTGCTCATGAAGCACTTGGACGACTCCAACAAGGAGGCGCAGGAGGACGCGGAGATGGACGCGGAAATTGAACTGGAGCTGGCTCAGGGGGGCCTCTGCTGCATGATGGGAAACATCGGCGCCATCGCCGGGGCGACAGGCGGGGGCGCGGCCGCGGCAGGCATGGGCGGAGTGGCAGTGGGGACGGTCGGGGGTCTGGGCAGCGGAGTAACGGTGCCACTTCAAGACGGAGCAGGAGGAGGAGGAGGAGGAGGAGGCAGCTCGACTCACGACGGACACGCCCACCCGCGATGTCGGCTCTACTCGCCGTCTCAAGTAAGTGGAATATCAGGCAATCAAGAAAATGATCACTACACTTTTACTTTAAACATGCTGATTGGAGCTCTTTAAGGAGAAGCTCGGCTTAATCACTTAGCAATCATGCAGTTCAGAATACATTAACTTTGATCACATCTCTGCTTAACATCTGCATCCAGATGACTCAGAGGGAAACATATGGAACTTTTTCAGTTTTTCTTCAACATGTGGCTCACATAGAGTCCGTCCGCATGTGTTTGTGTTCTGTTTTTATGGAATTAAATGGTCACGATAGTCATAAAGTTGCATTTTTGTTCAATTTTAATAGAATACTTCATAGGATGCAATAGAATAAAACAGTAGAGAATGGTGTTTTTGGTTGGTGTAGTAGTGCTTAAACCCGCTATATGTTACTTTTATGAAAATATTTATACATATTTTTACATTTTTGTTAGACCTATCACTAAGTCATGACAGTAAAATATGAGACAGATGATCTGTGAAAAAAATTTAGCTCCTCTGCCAATAAGAGCCTGGAGGACTGTCAATCATCCTAGTGCATGCACTGTTCACAACCTTCTCCTACGCTACATGGCATAAATGCTAATGCTAGTTAGCATGTCTTTTGATGACGGTGGATAAACAGCTTTTCCAGTTTCATCATTTTCTCCATTTGCAAATTTAGCAGCATGTACACGAGCATGATTGGCAGCGCTAAGCCACTCCTCTTCTCTCTGATTGGTCAATTTTGGTCGGGAGCGGTGTAGTTCTTCAGATGGCAATGCTAACACAGGGAGGAGGATTGAGCTTTTCACAGATTATCCGACTCAAAGCGTACCGTCACAACATGGTAACAGTTTGAACAAATATGTAAAATAAACATATTTTTTTATAAAAGTTACATACTATAGTTTTAAATAGGTTGTTAACTGTGCAATTTCTGATCGGATTATTCTGTTCTGGTTATTTCTAGACTTTATTAAGTTCTCCCACAGCACAAGTCGTTGCCCAACCAGACAGGCTTTTTGGTAATAATGCAGCCGGAGTTGCTTATATTGATATGAAACGCATATGACCTACTTGAGTAGATACGATATGAAAACACAAGGTGGTGCTGGAAGCCACACAGAGGACCCCTGCTCACAGATTTACCATGATATTAAATAGCGGCTGTCTCTGTTGTTCTAAAAATATCACCAGCGGACGCTCCGCCTATGTTGACTTTCATTCCTCAGCCGCCTGATTCATGCCATCATAATCGCACCAGTGTAAAATTATAAGCCCTCTGGAAAATGAGAAGAGGCACTTTGAGAATGTTGTGAGCAAATTTGAAATAAAGGAAGTAAATGAACCGAAAAAGTCAGTGTGGAAATAAACGGGAAGGAGTGAAAACAGGAGAAAGAAAGAAGCAACATTGGGAAGGAAGCTATGCTTTGCATTCGAGGGGAAATGAAAGGAATGAAAGGATTGTTGAAGTAGATGAATGAGTAGGAAAAGAAAAGAGTGCATAAAGGTTCTGAATGTACCAGAAGAGAAGCATGTGCTTAAAAATTAGAGATGCAATGATCAGAATTTGATATCCTTGGAGTCTGTGAAGCTTTAAACTGTCTACTTTAGTTTTATAATGTCTCTTTAGGAGCTTTATTATAGGAAGATATAAAGTAAGCATTGATTTTTTTTCAAGCCTTACTTCTGTGACAGATCATAATTAATTATTCATGTTAGAAATGGAGGTAATTTCTCTCCATGTGTGAGACATGATGTTGGTGTGTACTGAAAGTCAAATAAGTGGCAGTGAAGTTTTGAACACCTTCTTGATAATAAAAATAGATAATTGTGAGGATTACGTTTCTCCACTTAGTAACAGCGTCAACACTGAAAAGTGTTGCTACCATTTATGGTGCGTTCACTGGCTGAAGAGAGTCTGGGTTTTTGATTTTGGGATTGGTCAGACACCGGTCAGAGTTCATGAAGCTGTGAACTGTCAGGTTTCAATTCCCGACTAATTTCCTCCCACATTTCTAAAAACTAAATATGAATCAGACTCCGCCTCTAATTCCTACATTCACATTTTTGTCAGCTGTTCAGATCAAAGTTCAGAATCGAGGGGAAAGTTGTCTGATTCCACTCGTCTGCCGTTTTCTCTGTTCTCCTGTCATCAACAAGGATCCAGTTGTTTCATAGTTGTATTAAGTAACTAATCATTTGAAGTGACATTGAAATATGAACTGATATCTTTGCACATCTCATTTAAGTGCCAGCTATGACTTAAACTCACATAATAATAATAAAAGAAAACTGTAGCTTCTTTTTCAAAAGTACTTTTGCTAACGAACTAAATCTCGCAAGAACTTTAATTTCGTCACCACATTGTCTGGATGAAAGGCTTTAACTGCTGGCTGCTCCTATCTTTTGTTTGATTGTCTTTGATGATGGACAGGAACAGAACAATGACTGTACTTTTTTTTCTATTAAAACCAGCAGGTGAAGATTATTTTAATAAGAGCTGTCAAAGTGAGTAAAAGATAATGAAAAAAAAAATGAACAAAATCAGAGTTGAGGTCTGTGACATCAGCTGCAGAGGTTAGGATTGGTTTTGTGGCTTTACAACAGAGTTTGACTTTATCTACTTAATTATGTAGAAATGCTCGTTCTGCCTGCTTTAAGTAATCCTGGCTCAGACGTTTTAACTACTGAACTGTACAGAGTTACTTCCCAGCGTATTCTTCTGTTTTGCTGTATCGCTCCATTTATTATCTATTATGCTTTTTTTTTTAAGTACTTGTTTTGTTCCCAACTTGAAAAGACACGATGTCCTCTACATATTAGTCATCTTCACAGCAACTCTGACTAGACTCTTTTCGGGAAGTCTATCAGCAAAATGCTCTGTAACCTTTTGTAGCAAAGTTCACTAGCAAGAAATTACCTTTGTCACCCATCAGATGGAATAGCATTGAATCGATGGCGGAGCGGGAAGGGAAGAGAAAACAGCAATAGATGCTCTCAGAGGAGGGAAAACAGTGAACTGAGTGGGTGGCAGGCCTCATTGTGTTTAGAGCTCTTTGTCAGCTCACTGATATCTTTAACTTCCTAAGATTGAAAAGAGAATGTAAAAGGAGAGAGAAGGGAATACCTCTCTTTGTGCACCTTTTTCTTAGAATTAGTTTATTTCAAGAAATATTCTGATTGGTCAGCAAACGGCCATTTCAGATATACAGCTTGGATATTCCTTTATGCTGATAGTAAGAGGTTTTTCAGAACAAGGGTTTCCCCAACAACATTTATCTGATGGACTTGACTGAAAATTGTCCATATCAAAGAGAAGAGTGAAGTTGGGTTGTCATGATTGGCTTATTGGTGCTAGGAAATTACAAAGGATTCTTTATTCTTTCTTTTACCTCACGGCTCAGACCAAAAGTTCATGGACTGGTAATGGTCTGCGTCTGGTAAATTTAAGAAGATGATGTAGCTTTTGTCAAAAAAAAAAAAAAAATTGAAATTTAGCTTTAGGAGGCATTCACACAAGCTCTGATTAGTCTGCTTCAAGTAAACTCTAGTTCATTTGTCTAGAAACTTCATTTTGTTTGGGGAGGCGTGAATGCGCAAGCTAACTCTGGTGCAGACCTAAAACGCAAACTCTGGTCCGCTGAAAAACCTAGGTCTAAGTTCGGTTTGGACTGAACTCTGGTTCATTTCGAATGTGTATGTGAATGCCAAGCAGACCGGAAACCGCTCCACTGGATTCTGGCGCAGTGCATTCTGGGTAAATACATCAAGCACAGCTGCTTAGGTCTAGCGTTAGCGGGAGAAATGGCTCGTCATCTTTTACCAAAGATAAAAGAGAAATTCTACAACCGCAAAAATCTGACGCTGCGTCAGTTTTCTTTACGTTTCGTGTAGAAGGAAGTTGAGCTCAGTGACTTCTTGTGATGTTTTTGTGTCGATTCCTTCAGCGGTTCTTGCTGCAGTGCCACCACAGGTGAGGAGGTGCAGAGGTTTTTCTAATTGTTTGGTTTGTTTGACAGTGCAGTCAGAAAGCAAACCTCACCAGCTGAAAATGGAAGAAGAAAATGGAAGTTCAATTCATCCCCAATCGAACTGCATCTACCGGACTATCAATTAAACTATCAAAATAAGAATTCCCACCTTTTGTCTTTGCTGTGTCAGAATAAAGACTTGAGATCTGACGTGTGGAATCCCAGCTCTTTATCTAAATCTGGCCTAGTCCACCATTTGCAATAGCTCATTTCCAAACAAAACACTTACAAAAGCCGGGACGATATTATTTTAGCATGCCTGTTGAATAATTCATGTTGTCTGAGTCATTTCACTTACTAATGACTCCAGCATGAGTAATCTGTGATGGGGTTGTTTCAAAAAATATTTAAAAAACAACAACAACAAAAGAACAGTGACCAATTACCACTAAGTAGACGCAGTGTGAATTAAGATTTGTAAGACCTTGAAAAGTGAAAACAAGCAACACCACTGAATTAATATGTTAATAAGAACTGCCTTGCCACCTTTATTTGTGTAATTAAAATGTTTTCCAATCTCTCTCTTTTGTGCACAGTGCTGTACTAAGAGAAACAGAAATGGAGGGAGAAGTGAAACTCATAAAGGGCTAGTACAAAAAATATTATGAGTCTTTTCTATCTATACTAGTTTATTGGCCAAAGAAATGGTAAGCAGATTGATGGGGCATTTCAGCAATTCTTTTCAAAAAGTGAAACTGCTGTTATGTAGATTTATTAGACACAGTAATGTATTTTAAGCACTTATTTCTAATAATTTTGATTATTAGGGTGCAATGAAAACCCAAAACCCACATTTTTTGAAACATTGAACAATAAATACAATAGATCTACTCTGTTGTACTTAAAAACTTTTGTTTTCCACCACAGAACTCCTGACATCCGAAATCAGGAGGCATTTATGCTAAATGAATGTAGTAATTATACAATAGTAAATAATAAAACATTATAAGTTGATGTTTCTTTACATATTTTTTAGCATTGTCTGTTAGCTTGCAGAGGGGACCACACCCAAAGGTCAATGCTCCAAAGGGGGTCATGGCATGGAGAAGTTTGGGAAGCCCTGCTTCAATCATTCATAAACATATTCACACACTGATGGTGGTAAGCTACATTGTAGCCCCAGCTGCTCTGGGGCAGATTGACAGAAGTCAGGCTGCCATTCAATCTGCGCCGCCGGACCCTTTGACCAACACTATCCGTCAAGGCGGGTCAAGTGTCTCGCCCAAGGACACATCGACGGAAACGAATGGAAGACGAGCTCGTAGCATCTGAAACTCAGTCCCCATTTCCCTAAATAAACCCAAGCAGCAGCTTCATTGTGACAGTTTCACTAAAGAAGCGCCAGTCTTCATGAGCACTTGAACCATTCGGCACATCTCTTTCTGTGGCACCTCGCATGGAGCACCGTCTGAATGTTTTGAAGGAATATAAATCGTATGTTGAGGAAGATGGGCGTATTGCACAATAGGGGCTGCAGAGTGTGAAGAACCCAGATTGCAGTGAATCAAACGGGGTCATGGGCACAGTTTACCACACTCGCTGCCCGGCACAATCAATCAATCAAGCTGCCTCGCCCCCCCACTGGGCGCCTTGCCAGCATGTGAAGCGATGTGTACGCTCAGTGAATACTTGGGTGCTGCCAAGGACCTGCTATTGTCTGCTGCCCTCTTCACCTTCCACCCTTTAGCAAGTCTTTTAATGGTATCTGGATGGGAAAGGAAGAAAACAGGAGGAAAGGGTAACCTCTGGAGGAACAAGCATAAAAACTTTAGCAAGAGATGAAGAGAGAGAAGAGCAAGTAAGGCAAAAAATAATAATTACCTGTTAATTAAATATTCAGCGGTTTAGAAAGATCTTTGTAAACAAACTGCTCCATAAAAATAACAAGATACCAGGAGGCAAACTCTTAGGAGATGAATAGATTTTGACTAGGTGACAGAGACAAGATGGGGGGGAAAAAATCACAATTAAACTTGCGGGGTTGACATTTGTCTCCGACTCCGACATTTGTCTTGGAAGGAGGTACAAGTGCAAGAGTCGGTGATAACCGTCTTGCAGCTGCCAGTCGGGGGTGAAAATAACATCGGCTCCAACGTATTGCGCTTAATTAAACAGCACTTTCCGTCATGCACTCGGCATGTTCTACAGAGGAGGCAATAATGAAAGAGAAAAAATAAAGGAATCAAAGGAGAACAGTAGAAAAGAATAGCTGACGCTTTAGTTTCTTTGGAGAAACCCGACACAGAAGATCAGATGTTGGCTAAGTTGACTTTTATTGACATTTGGAGAATATGGACTTGATTTCCTTTTCGTTGCTTCTGAAAGTGAAAGCTACATTCACTCTTCATCTTGTGAAGCCACCATGTTTTTTGTTCATGCTGCCTGTGAGGTAAACGGTGTGTCTGTTGCTGTGTGCTGCAGGAGAGCCAGTGGCTGGACAGTGTGTCTCTGCTGATTAAGGACTCGTTGGAAGGGGACATGATTGACAACCTCTCCGGGTCCGTTTTTCACCACTACTGCTCTTCTCCCGTCTGCAAGGACTGCAAGAGTCACCCGCAAGAGGTGAGTGTGGGAAACGCAAACACACACATTCTCTCCCCTGTCCCTTAAACTAATTCATTTTGCTGACCCTGAGGAAGACGAGGACGGTGGATTTATTATCTTATGAATTAGATGTCAATGTGTTGTTGCTTTTTTTTTTTTTTACGTTGTGAAGTACAGCATTGACAATATGCTTTGATGATATTGACATTTTTGCCGTTTCTGAGTTGTATGGACCATTTGTGAACATTTGTCGACACATTTCATGACAATTACCTTAAAATAAACATATTTACTGAGAAAGACAGTGACCTGTTCAATGTACAGTTTCTAAGCTGCATATAAATATAACCTAATAACGTTTGGGGTTTTATTTACCATTTCGCCGTCTGCACACTGCAAAATGTGTGTTTTTGCTTCATGAGTGGATGAGCTGTTAGCGCCTCATCAACATTCTCATTTGAATAATATGGATCTTTTTAAGCCAGATGTAAACAACGCAGATCACCAAAGCATTAGAGACACTTTGATTCATGAACAGATGAATCAAGACGGACAGTTTACACGAAAAGCAACAAAAGTGTTGAATATTTATATAATCCTTTTTTTTAATCTGTGGAGACAAATATATTCAATCAAATTACAGATTTCCCCTCAACTCAGTTGTGAACCAGGGTTTTGTTAAAACTAATGACTCATTAACTTTTAATGTGTGTTTAAACAAATTTGAAAACTGTTTACACTAAGAAATAAGTCAAAATCTTCTGTTGTTTTAGTTAGAAAATTACTAATTAAAATACTTAAACTTTCACATTCTCCTTCACTCCTTTTTTCTTTTCTTTTTTTTTCTTTTTCTTTTTTCTTTTTCTTTTTCCTTTTTTTCTTCAAGACGGACAGTTTACACGAAAAGCAACAAAAGTGTTGATCAGAGCCAGGATTGTGTTCCAATCTTGGCTCTGATTGGAACACAAACTTCAAATCAGTTTGTGTTCCTAACCTCTACGTCACGTTTTGTTTCCTGACTGTTGCGTGTTTGTGACGCAGGTCCGACTGGCGGAGGTGGAGCAGGCGTCACTGATGTCAGAACAGCTGTCAGACAAATCCTCCTCTCCAGCGTTACCCGATGACCTGAGCCTGGATGAACACAGCAGCTACCAGCTGCTTGTCAGAGGCGGTCAGGTGTGTCTCCACTCGCTCACTCAAGCTTAACAAGGCCTTTCCAACTCGCTTGTCACACTCGTGTTGTTTCACACTGGTTACCCATAATTCTCTCCATGGACGAGATATTATTGTTATATTGAATTTCACGCTTTAAAAAAAAACAAAACAATTTATAGCATCTAAGGGACTTTTTTGATGTCAAACTTTAATGAATAGAACAATAATTGAAAAGCCATTCGTACCTCTTGAATATTTCCACTTTTTCATACTAAAAAGCAAAGTTTGGAGTATTTTAGGAGGTTTTTATGTGACAGACCAACACAATGTGGTACATAACTGTGAATGGGGAGGAATATGATTTATAATTTTCATGTTTCAGACAAAAGAAAAATCTAAAAAGTGAGACTTCTGTTTAAACTCCCTGGGTCAAAACACTGGAGAACCACATTGTACACCACTGCAAATATTTAGGAACATTCTTTTACAAGCTTTGTCATTTAGACACTGAAACTAAAGTCCATTTCTACTTTGTGAAATAAGTTAAACTCAGTCTGACTGAATGGATAGTGTTTCTGAATACAAATTTTAGAATAAGACAGAGAGGGAGGATGAGCCTCACAGGATTGTGATTGACAGCACTAAGACCCGCCTCCTGGCTCTGATTGGTTGTTTTTGGGGCAGAAGGCCAAGGAGCTCAAATTGTTTATAGATTATCTGTCTTATATTCTATACTGTCACGACATGGTGATAGCTTCACTAATGTGTAAAAGTTTTTTTTTTTTTTAAATAAAATTTACGTACTGCATCTTTAAATATCTGTGTATCTTTATCCCCGGCTGGTCTGGTGTAGTTTGGTTTTCATCTGTTTGTTTACTGGTGTTCTTTAAGAGACCTTCACTGAAAATCTGCATTTCACTCACATTTAATTACACACAGGCTGACTAGTTACTTCTAACAGCGACTGGGCGCTCTTCATTTACAGGTTTCAGTATAAAGGGAATTAAATACAAACGCATGCCACACTCTTCAGAGTTTTTCCTATAAAAACAAGTGAAACTGTGTCCTTTCCTACCACTTTACAGTCATGCACCATTTTGTACTGTTGTTCCACTCCAGTTCCCAACAAAACATTTGTAGATCTGCTGACGTAATGAGAAACAAAATAAATAAATAAAAAAATTGAAAAATTCAAGAGGTATGAAAACTTTGGTAAGACTTCAAAAGATACTGTCGTTTGGGTTTTAAAGAGCTACAAATCATCCTGACAGACTAACTTGCTAATCACCTTTAATTACTATTTATGCTTCAGCGAGTGACTAAAACACGTCTCCCACTGTGTTTTGATGTGGTTGAGCTGTGGTGTGTGTGTGTGTGTGTGTGTGTGTGTGTGTGTGTGTGTGTGTGTGTGTGTGTGT